GCAGCCGACCGCACGCCCCCCGCCACGAGCGTAAGCAGCAGCACGACCTTGCCTCCGAAGCGGAGGCTGCCGCCGCCATCACAACGGACAGACAGACGGTACAAAAAGTGCAGGAGGAAACGGTGACGTCAGCAGCAGCTTTATCATCGTAGGTGAGGGGTGGTTATTTTTCGTGATACCCATTCACCATGCACCACGTGCACGCGGTGTTACCCTGGCTGGTTGCCTCGTCGTTCAGGGTGGTCGTCAGGGGACCCCTAACCCGGCCGGCGTGCACTCATGAAAACCCTTGCCGCCTCAGCACCACCATTATGACACAGAGCAACGGCAAGTGCAGCAGGCAAAACAGCCTGTTTCTGGTAGGTCCGAGCTGTGTAGCTCTCCAACACCTCAAGAACGTACTTGGATCTACATTTTTTGTTTCTAGCGCCGCCGTTACCTCGAAAGTTGGCAGCAAATAACTACTTCTGTACATGCTTCAAGTGTACCATATCAGACACGAGAACCTGAGCACCATCAGGTGTGACCCCCGTTAAGAATCTCCTCACCGAAAGCCTATGCCCTCCTGTCAACAAGAACCCCACGAAAAACCTTTACAGCGGACCACTTGTGGTCAACACAAAGGAACGATGGACCCCAGCCACACGGCTAATACCAGAGCTCCTTACCGTACACGACACAAGATAACACACCCCCTGGACCGATTTTCAAAGCTCGATTACTCCACGGCGAAGAAGATGCATAAACGCTAGGATACGTTTGTTTTCGGAGAGCTCTTGATCGAACTATCTTCAACGCCGGCGTTTTCGGCGCCGCAATACTTTCTGCGGTTGACATCAAGAGCTGTGAAAATCGGCCCAGGGGGTGTGTTATCTTGTGTCAGATACGGTAACCGCCGGTGCGAACCCTGTATTTACACCTTGCAGCCGGAACACCGAAAATGTCCACCACACAAATATTATGGCGTTGTTCACGATGATGACGGTACACTCGCACCTGGCGCAACCGATCAACACCGAGGCCGTGGCGGTGTCCGCGACGTGGGCGTGCAGCTGCTCCAAGCCCTGCGTTTGTTTTCATTTCCAGGCAGGGCGGTATGCGAAACGGGAGTGAGTGGAGGAACGGCAGAAAGAAGGATGACAATGTTGTGCAAATCCAAATCAAGCTGGTGCAATCATTGCATGCCAACATACACACACACACGTCCGACTCCACTAACAACAGGAGGGGTGGGCTCGGATTGTGGGCGGATATGCTCCCCCCCGCACTCTCCCAACAGCGCCTCGGGTGGTGTCACACACACACACACAGGCGTATTATGCGAATGACAGCCGGCCAAACGCAATACTAGAGTAATCGTCCATGGCAAGGAAACGAAGAAACTCTCTTCCAGTGGAAAAGCAGGCTTGTGGACCCCAACCCTTTGTCAAAACCGCCATTCTACAGGCAAACTTTCAGTGGGCTTGTGCAGCCCCCCCCGACCCTTTGTCAAAACCGCCAATCCACAGGCAAAATATTCCAAATGAAAGCCAACCTATCGCGCAACAAGAGGCGTCGTCCATGGCAGCGCAACAGGCAAGAACGGCGGCGAAAACATACCCAACCCCCGACTGCCTTGGCTTGCGGGGGGTAGGTTTTCTGTGCCTATTCGAGACTATACAGCAGTACGGCAAGTGACTGGGGTCGAAGTCACCAAACAGGCTCACGGCTCCCACAAGCTGCCAGCATGAACACGATAACATCAAACTCTTTGGTTACCTTTCAACCAGCCGTGATGCACTTTTTCTTGATCGACAACCCCAAGG